CGACGAGCGACGGGCGAAGGGGGCCCATCCAGAGATCCAAGGATCTATTTTTTTCCTCCTCCTCCTCCTCCTCCTCCTCCTCCTCCTCCTCCTCCTCCTCCTCCTCCTCCTCCTCCTCCTCCTCCTCCTCCTCCTCCTCCTACTACTACTCCTTCGGGTTTTTTTCGTAGATTTCGGCCTCCAGGGACCAGTCTCGGGCCCAGGTGCCATCAGAAGTGGATCTGGGACTAAAAACCACTCCTGGGGAAGGGGTCGGGACCCCTGGGGCCGTGGATCGGAAGAGTCAGATCGGCGGACGTCTGGGCAGGAGGCCGGAGACACATTTTCTGCCGCGAACCTGGCGCTCGCGCAGATCGGCCCGGCAGACACGGGGCCACCGTGCAGGGGGTGGGGGCGAGGAGGCCGAGGAGGCGCACTGGTGAGCGTCGCGGCCACGCGCGCGGCGGCGCGGCGCACAATGAGGCCATTGGATGCTGAAGCCTTGGATGAGGAATGCAGGGTCGGAGAGCCAGCGGAACACCGACTGAGGCTTGGCCATGGATACCACCGCCGCCCTCATCCGACAATGCATCGTCCAGGGTCGGAAGCCTCCTGGGCACAGTCCTGAACCAACGCCCCCACCGCAGCGGTGGTCGAGCAAAGAGTGAGGAGAACAATTATCGTGTTGGGAGGATGGGGTTGGGAGGATGAAGGGCATGAGCAATAGCATCCAAATGCATTGAACGATACCTTCGGCCGCCCACGGCTAAGGATATCCTCATCTCCAAACCCGATAAATGTCTTCCTGAAAGAGAGGCGCGCGGGCTTGGCCAGCTCACGTTGGCCGGAGGCACGCATGCCTGGCTGGGCTCACCTGTGGAACATTCGGTCGGAGGCCGCGCGCTGGATATAGGCACGCGGGAGTCCCGCGCGCCCGGCCACCTGAGGGCCGCTAGCGCCGGAGAGGCATCCGGCCACACGTGTGCGTCCTGCTATCGCCGAGGCTGGCCGCGTCATGTGCCCAGAGATCCGATGTCGTGATTTCTTCAATACGGGGTCCCCGGAAGTCTCAACCCAATCCCCAGGACCGGTTCTTCATCCTGGGTCGTTCTTTGACGGTCCCGGAGCCCAGCGAGGGCCCCTAGAGGCCGAGAATTGCGAAAAACCTCCGCGTCGATTTTTTTCAGTACGTTGGATCTCTGGGTGTGTCCAGCTTCCTGGAATGGCGGGGACGCCGAGGCCGACGCCGACATCGACGCCGACGACGACAACGACGCCACCGCTGCCGGCGACAACGACGACGACGACGACGACGACGACGACGACGACGGCGACGACGGCGATGACGGCGACGACAACGACGCCGCCGCTGCCGCCGACGACGACGACGAAGACGACGAGGACGACAACGGCGACGGCGACGGCGACGACGACGGCGACGACGGCGACGACGGCGACGACACCGACGCCGCCACTGCCGACGACGACGACGACGACGACGACGACGACGACGACGACGACGACGACGGGCAGCGGCGACGACGACGACTGCGACGACAACGGCGACGACGGCGACGACGGCGACGACAACGACGCCGCCGCTGCCGACGACGACGACGACGACGACGACGACGACGACGACGACGGGCGCCGGCGGCGACGGCGACGAGGACGACGATGCCGGCGACGATGCTGGCGATGACGGCGAAGATGCTGACGAGGGCGACTTCAGCGCGGGCGCGGGGCAGTCACCGCCCGCCCCCTCGGGCCAGAATGATTGCGGGCCGCTCTGCAGAAGCGGGCAGAAGAGGGAAGTGTGCGAGGCGGGTGCTTGGATGTCGGCTTCGGACACCGCGCAGGTCTCTCAACCTGGAGCGATCTCCCGGATCTGATAGCGATCTTCCGCCAGTGGCTTTCAGCCTTGAACGCCCACGCCAGCGCCGCTGCCTCGGCGACTCGGCGCGGACCTGGCGCGAATTGATCCGGGTGGAAGAGGCCGCGCTAACGGCGATGTTGGTTAACGGCGACGTTGGGAATCCGACTTTTGTGACGCCGAGCTCGCGCAGAACAAATTGTAGGAAATCACGAAACACCGCTTCCTACATTTCAAACATGCGAACGTATCGAACGAAAACGACACAGCGAGTTGTAGGAAAACACGAACCACGCGTTACTACAATCGGTTTGGCCACGGACCGCGCCTTCCTACGATTGGTTGCCTACTTCGCCGTTAGATAACACACCGTTAGCGCGTCTACGGGATGCGGTGGAAGCGGGTCATGGACCCTGGGGCTTCCAGACCAGCTTTTCGTTCCGAGGCGTGTCTTGACGGCCCCGGGGCCCTGGGAGCTGAGAGGGGCCCGAGGAGCCCGAACACGGCGAAGCCCCTCCAGGAGGCATGATGGGCCGGGCCCGCCCCCCGAAGAGGAGGGCCAGAGGCCAAAGGAAGCCCCTTCGGTGGTTGAGGCAGCGGGGCGCCTGGGAATCCAAGCACACAGCAGAAGATTACGAAAAGAAACGCTGCCATGAGAAGTCTAAGAGCGGGGGGGGAAAGAGAAAGAGAAGGCCTTCGCAAAAGGTTCGGAAGTCCCCTGGCCTCCTGAGAAGCTTTCTGAACCTTCCCAGAAAAGAGAGGAAACCCTTCTCAGAAGGCGCGAGGGCTTCTGAGAAGCCCCGCCGCCGTCTGAGAAGGCCTTCTCCTTCTCATTTCCCCCCATCGCTCGCCGCCGAAAATCTGGGGAACGTTCGTCGTCCAGCGTTTCTTCCTCCCTGACGTGCCCCAGGGCTCCAGCGGGCGGGTGGGTTTGGGGCAGGATCAGCCAGCATCGAATCGGGAGAGCGCCCCAGGAAAGCGATCTCTTCGGCTCCCGAGGGGAGGCCTTGACTAAGGACCCCCCCGTCTGTAATTGATCTCCTACAGGATGGCCCCATGAGCGGCCCTCCTGAGGCTCCCAGGCGCGCCCCAGGAGGGCCCCGGGAGGCGCCCAGACGGATCCGAGAGGTGCCCCACACCCTCGTCGCACTCGTCGTCGTCGTCTTCAGGGTCGGCGGCATCGGCCGCAAGGCCCTCGCCAGCGGACCGACTCGGAGCGTGCGTCGGAGCGGGCTGATGTCGGCACGGAGCCAGCATCGAACCGGCTCGGCCGCGCAGGGACGCACAGCAGCGCCACGCGACGAGCCTCGGGACGCCCAGGATCGTCGGAGCAGCGGCATTCGAACCGGGTCGGGGCGGCCAGCATGGGCATGGAAGCGGATGGCTCGGAGCGAGATGGGCCCTGAGATGGCTGACCCAAAAGGACCCCTAATCCTTTGGGGAGGGGACCTAAGTTAGGAGGGCCGAACACATTAGGGATATATATATATATATATATATAGAGAGAGAGAGGCTCTTTTCTGCAGATGTGTCGAACCAAGCCGCCGAGATCTATGACCCCTAATGCATAGACGGGGACCTCAGTGAGGCCACGTCTCCGCTGTGTTGCTGGGGTTGGGGGCCCTCCTTGTCCTCGAGGCTGGAGGGAGGGGATGCCGCGAGGTCGCGGGGCACCTGCGGGCAGGCCGGCTTCTCGCCTGCGGCGCCCGCGGCGCCTGCTCTCCCCGAGCGGCCCGCGCGGCGGAGCGCCGAGGCCCGCCCCCTGGGGGCCCTCCTCCTCCTCCTCCTCCTCCCCCTCCCCCTCCTCCCCCTCCTCCTCCTCCTCCTCCTCCTCCTCCTCCTCCTCCTCCTCCTCCTCCTCCTCCTCCTCCTCCTCCGGCCGCCTGGGCGACGGCCGCCCCCAGGCAGCGAGCCGCAGGCCCCGGGCCCAGGACCCGGGCACCCGGCGGCTCGAAGAAGTCGAGAAGGGGCCTGTGAGTTTCGAGACTCGGGCAAGCTGGCCAGCATGGCGTCCGCCCGTCCCCGCACGCCCCCTCGCCCCTCTTCAACAAACGAATGCTGGCGTGAAAGTGCCCGTCGACTTGCGCGAGTTCCCGCACGTGCAAGTCGTTGCGGCTTGCTTCAGGTTCAGGCCACCCCCCGTCCATGCAGGTAAACTTGCTGGGGTTTGACAACAAAAAAACTGGCTCACAACTGGCTCACACGTGTTTCGTCCGTCTTCGGACTCTGGAGGCCAACTTTCGTTAGCAACTAAGCAGCTTGGCGGCCATGGCTTCCAAAAGCCAAAAACAAAAACGGCTCAAGCGTACATTCGGGCGGCATATCAGCCAGATCACCGGAACCGGAGCCCCTGCAAGAGAAAGCTACGGGAAGACAAGTCACTCAAGATGGTCCCTCTCGAGGTCCGCCGGGCCGCCGTCGGGCCCTGGGACTGGCCAACAACGACTCTGGATAGAAAAGGGGGCCCAGAGAAAGTGTCGAGATGGCCGGGTGCCCATTTCTCAGGGAACTTAAGCCGCCGAATCCGCCGACCCCTTGGGGTGCTCTCGGCGTGCGACTGCTTGGTCCTGCCCAACCCATCCCCCGGGAACGATACCAAGGGGGGGCCTCATTATTACCACAGGCATGGGAGCCTGGTCTGGCTGGTTCGGAGGGGGTCCCACCCATCGGGCCTGGCGGACTCATCGGGCCCTGAAGAGCTCCAAGGCGCGCAGATATCGCCAGAAAGCTTCATGACGGTCGGCAAGTGGCGGCCCTACAGAGCCCCAGGAGGACATCCAAGAGCGCGCCGAAAAGCAAACAGCAGAGGAAAACGGCAATGTCCCGACAATCTGAGAGCAAGCGGGCCCGTGATACACCAATGCTCGGCTCCCCCTTCGGAAGCTCAGATGCAATTCATGCTACATCGCAGTGATCAAGAGATCCTTAAGAGAGACACGTCTACCCCTCCCCTGACAATGAAATATGCGATTCTACCTGAGAGGACCTGGCAATCTGAGTGCAAACCGGCCCATGATACACCAGTGGTAGTCTCCCCCTTTGGAGGCTCAAACGCCTTGCCTGCTACAACGCGGTGATCATGAGTATGACTAACGCTGTGTATGCGTGTGCGTGTATGCGACCATCCGAGTGCGAATGAGTCTGAGTA